TTCTGCATAGCTTGCTTTCCCACCCCTTCAGGTCTTCCTCCAAAGTCACCTCCTCAGAGAGGTCCTACCTGGCCATTTCAGCCCCTTCCCCGGACCTTATAAAGCCCTTTCCTACTTACTTTTTAATGTGTCAGTCTTTGCTACTGCCTTGTGCACTATGGAGTTTTCCTTGTTTAGCGTCTGTCTCCCTCACTAGAATATAAACTCTTTGAAGGCAGAGATTTTTGTATTATTTGTTTACTGTTGCACGATGCCTGGCTAACAGCAGGTCCTCAGGACATCTTTGTTCAATGAATGAATAAATGAATGAGTTTCATAGGAAACATTTGGGCAGATTCTCTTCAGAGCATTCTCCATCTCTCCCTCTCCTCATCTCCCTTATTCCATTTCATCACCCCAGTGCATTTCATCACTGCAACCCCATCCCAGCTCCCCTACCCCATCCCATCTCTGCTTTCTATCCATCTCCCCTTCCCATCTCATCTGCCCTCCCCATCCCATCTCCTCTCTCTATCCCATCTCCCCTTCCCATCTCCTCTGCCCTCCCATCTGACCTGCCCTCCCTATGTCATCTCCCCTCTCCATCTCATCTCCCCTCCCATCTCATCTCCCTCTCCATTTCATTTCCCCTCCCATCTCATCTCCCCTCCCATCTCATCTCCCCTTCCATCTCATCTCCCCTTCCATCTCATCTCCCCTTCCATCTCATCTCCCCTCCCATCTCTTCTCCCTTCCCCATCTCATCTCCCCTCTCCATCTCATCTCCCCTCCCCATCTCATCCCCCCTTCCATCTCATCTCCCTCCCCATCCCATCTCCCCTCTCCATCTCATCTCCCCTCCCATCTCATCTCCCCTCTCCATCTCATCTCCCCTCCCATCTCATCTCCCCTCCCATCTCATCTCCCCTCCCATCTCATCTCCCCTCCAATCTCATCTCCCTTCCCCATCTCATCTCCCCTCCCATCTCATCTCCCCTCCCATCTCATCTCCGCTCTCCATCTCATCTTCCTTCCCCATCTCATCTCCCCTCTCCATCTCATCTCCCCTCCCATCTCATCTTCCTTCCCCATCTCATCTCCCCTCTCCATCTCATCTCCCCTCTCCATCTCATCTCCCCTCCCATCTCATCTCCCTTCCCCATCTCATCTCCCCTCCCATCTCATCTCCCTTCCCCATCTCATCTCCCTTCCCCATCTCATCTCCCCTCCCATCTCATCTCCCTTCCCCATCTCATCTCCCCTCTCCATCTCATCTCCCCTCCCATCTCATCTCCCCTCCCATCTCATCTCCCCTCCCATCTCATCTCCCTTCCCCATCTCATCTCCCTTCCCCATCTCATCTCCCCTCCCATCTCATCTCCCCTCCCATCTCATCTCCCCTCCCATCTCATCTCCCCTCCCATCTCATCTCCCCTCCCATCTCATCTCCCCTCTCCATCTCATCTCCCCTCCAATCTCATCTCCCTTCCCCGTCTCATCTCCCCTCTCCATCTAATCTCCCCTCCCATCTCATCTCCCCTCTTCGTCTCATCTCCCCTCTTCGTCTCATCTCCCCTCTTCGTCTCATCTCCACTCTTCGTCTCATCTCCCCTCCCCGTCTCATCTCCTTTCCCCATCTCATCTCCCCTCCCATCTCATCTCCCCTCTCCATCTCATCTCCCCTCCTCCATCTCATCTCCCCTCCTCCATCTCATCTCCCCTCCCATCTCATCTCCCTTCCCCATCTCATCTCCCTTCCCATCTCATCTCCCCTCCCATCTCATCTCCCCTCCCATCTCATCTCCCCTCCCATCTCATCTCCCCTCCCATCTCATCTCCCCTCCCATCTCATCTCCCCTCCCATCTCATCTCCCCTCTCCATCTCATCTCCCCTCCAATCTCATCTCCCTTCCCCGTCTCATCTCCCCTCTCCATCTAATCTCCCCTCCCATCTCATCTCCCCTCTTCGTCTCATCTCCCCTCTTCGTCTCATCTCCCCTCTTCGTCTCATCTCCACTCTTCGTCTCATCTCCCCTCCCCGTCTCATCTCCTTTCCCCATCTCATCTCCCCTCCCATCTCATCTCCCCTCTCCATCTCATCTCCCCTCCTCCATCTCATCTCCCCTACCTTATTTACTCTCAGGGACCTGCTCTACCCTTCCTTTGGAAGAGCTGCTGCTTAGGGTTCATAGCTCCTTCCTCCAGCCCTGTCCCTCTCTCCCTTCCTAGGAGTGATTGGCCATCCTCATGCATTTTTTTATAGTCTACAAATGCAAAAATAAATGCGATCTTTTTGTGTGAATGTGTTTTTAAAAACTGTCAGAATACACAACATAAAATTGACCGTCTTTACCATGAAAAAGCCCACAGTGCAGTGGCATTCAGCACATTCACAGTGTTGTGCAGCCCTCACTTCATCTGTCCACAGAGCGCTTTATCTTGGAAAACTGAAACTCTGTCCCCTTTAAACAACTCCCCGTTCACCCTCCCCCATTCCTGGCAACCACCATTCTACTTTCTATCTATCTCTATGATTTTTACTACTCTGGGTACCTCATATAAGTGCAGTTATATAGTCTTTGTTCTTATGTGGCTGGCTTATTTTACTTAGCATACTATCTTCAAGTTTCATCCATGTTGCAGCAATTGCCAAGGTTTCTTTCCATTCTAAGGCTGAATACCATTCCACTGCATGGATAGAACACATTTTTTAAATTCATTCATCTGTCCATAGACACTTGCATTGCTCCCCTCTTTTGGCTATTATTAATACTGCTCTGAACATGGATGTACAGTATCTCTTTGAGACCCTGGTTTCAGTTTTTTGGGCATTTACCCAGAAGTGGAATGGCTGGATCATGTCGAAATTCTAGATTTCATTCTTTGAGGAACCGCCGTGCTGTTTTTCACAGTGGTTGCCCCATTGCACATTCCCACCAGCAGTGCACAAGGGATCTAGTTTTTCCATGTCCTTGTCAATGCTTGGTATTTTCTGCTTTTTGAAAGAAACGATCCTAATGGGTACGAGGTGGTGTTTCATGTATTTTAAAACTTCGGTGGCATTGTACTTTGCATATGCAGTTTGACTTACGTACTTAATATTAACTTTTTACTGTTTAAACGTGAATCCTGTAGATCTAGTTTATTTTACTGTTTAAATAAAATTAAACTCATATTCACACATATTTTTGGATAACAGCAGTTCCCTGTGCCCCATCTCCCTCCCATGAATTCTCGAGCCACTTTGAAGTCTTCTGGCTGTGTCTTCATTATTTCTGTTCATGTTTCTAAATGTAAATACCGCTGTTTCTTGATTTTTCACTTTGCGACCCTAGCTATTGACCCTTAGTGAGGAAGAAAGGAACTGAGCTCTTTTCACATTTTTTGAAGGCTACTCTTGACCTTTTGTTTTCTTAAACGTAGACATTTACATAATCCCAGGAAACGTTTTCAGAGCTCTGATCCTTTGCATTCTGAGAACCTCAGGACTTGGCAGGTTGAATTTTCTCTTCTCTAATGAGAAGGTTATGCCTGGGATCAGGTTTGTAGAAGTGCATTGGTGGACTTTGTTTGGGTTTTTCTCTTATTAAAGAAAATGAAGCTGGGTTTTCCTAATGAAACAGGTCTGGGAATCCAGCTGTGTGCCAGCCATTGTGCTGTGTGCTGTGTAGGCATTATCTCCTCAGCCTTCACCACTGCCTTTGGGGTGGCCCTCTTCTTATCCCCCACTTCAGGGCAGAGGGGATTAAGGCCACAGAGGCAAAGCCACTCTGCAAAGGCCTGTGACCCGCAAGCAGCAGTACCCGGCGGGAGGCACTCAGTTCTGACTAAGTGACTGCAGGTGCTCTTCTGCTTCTCAGGTTCAGTCTCTGAGTTATCTGGGTGGTAGGTGAGAGCATCATCCTCATCCTGCGGTGACAGGAAGGTACTGGCATTGCTACTACCTCTGTATGTCAGGCCCTGGGCCTACCTTGCCACATTCTGAGCTCTCTGGCTGTTCCGTGGCCTGCATGGTGTGTTTGGGGGTATTTTCTGGGAGAGCTGGTAGAAAGCTAAGCTCAGGGGCTCTTGCATGGTGTGGCCCTGGCTCTGGGAGTGTGAAGTTTTATACTTGATGACTTAAATCACTTTTCAGAAGTCATTGAGTATAACAGGGCTTTTTCCTGTGAGCCTCGTGCCTTCATGGAAGGGCAGGGTGGGAAGGAGGGACAGACAGTACCTTCTCTCCCCCAACAAAAGGACAGCTGCCCCTAAGGCAGGTATTTGCACTTTGACTGGTTGTAAATACGAGTGTGGCAGGTTCCTTTTTGGATCTTAGTCTTTAGCAGAACCCATGAATATAGCGGGGCCTTAGGAAGGGTCCATGGCAGGACAGATGCCAGGGTTGCAGGCGAGCCTGGGATAGGGCTGTGAATGATGAGGGCGCAGGACTTTCTCTTAGCTGCAGGGATGAAGCAGGTGTGAAGGGCTGGGAAGGTGACCGGCAGACACAGAATGCTGTTTTCTTTTCTTTTGAGATGGTCTCGCTATGCCACCCAGCTTAGAGTGCAATGGTGCAGTCGTGGTTCACTGCAACCTCTGCCTCCTGGGCTCAAGCAGTTCTCCTGCCTCAGCCTCCTGAGTAGTTGGGACTACAGGCATGCACCACTATACCCAACTAATTTTTTGTAGAGACAGGGTTTCACCATGTTGCCTGGGCTGGTCTCAAACTCCTGAATACAAGCAGTCTACCCACCTTAGCCTCCCAAAGTGCTGGGACTACAGGTGTGAGCTGCCATACCCAGCCAGAATGCCGTTTTCTCAACCCCAGAAAAAATATGCGGAAACAATCCTCCCAATTTACCAATCCCAAGCCTTTACATTTCTGCAGTGAAAAGTTTAACATCTAGGTATAGATTTGGTGGCAAAATAATGGTAATCTAATTCCACCGAGACCTTTTTCCCTCTACAGAGGGGTCAAGCTGAGCCCTGGAGACCAGGCTCTTGTTGTGATGCCTGGTGCTGTCTGTGTTTGCCTGCAGGTATGGAACGCTGTGGACTCTGGGTACTGCCTGCAGACCTACTCCCTGCACACAGAGGCAGTGCGGGCCGCCCGCTGGTCTCCCTGTGGCCGGCGCATCCTCAGTGGTGGCTTTGACTTCGCCCTGCATCTAACAGACCTTGAAACAGGTGAGTTTCTTCTATTACTATCCTGAGGAGAGCTGGCAGCTCTCTCATTGGGGAAGGTTCTCTGGTGGGCACGCAGCCACCAGCTGTATGTGGTTGCGTGGCGGGGGGGAGGGGGGAGGGGTGGGCTCATGCTTGGTGACAGGGTTTCCAGACTGTTTAGAACTGTGACTCCCCACAGAGGGTGGGCCTTTGCCAGCCAACACAGAGGACAGAGCCCCAAGGTTGTCTCAGCCCCAAGCCATGGGGCTGGATAAAGAGGTGGCATTTTCATCTACCTCTGACATGCAATCTGTGCCGAAGTAGATTTAACTTTGTCACTGTGTCCTTTGCTTGGCATCCGTTTAGAATTCCTGTCAATTCGTTATCGTTGAAAGGCTGTGAGAAATGATTCCAGCTCATAAGGAAAGTCTTCAAACGAGTTCTGCTTTCGTGCCCACACTGAAAAGGCACTTGGGGAAGATGGATTTGTGCTGGGTCAATCCTGAGGGGGCTCTTGACAAGCAGGGCGAGAAGCAGAGAGAAGTCAGTGGAAGGAACTTTCCTCATTGAGCTCCTGTGCAGCAGACACTGTCAGCACCCATTGCAGCCACGCCCCCACGTGAGCCCTGTCCCGGGTTTCCAGTGAGGACAGCCAGGGAGTGGTGGGATTCACACCTTTGCCATCTAACTCCCAGGTCTGGCTCCTTCCTCTCTTTTCTTTTCTTTTTTCTCCTTTCCTTCCTTCCTTCCTTCCTTCCTTCCTTCCTTCCTTCCTTCCTTCCTTCCTTCCTTCCTCCCTCCCTCCCTCCCTCCCTCCCTCCCTCCCTCTGTTCTTTCTTTCTTTTTCTTTTTCTCTTTCTCTCTCTCTTTTCTCTCTCTCTCTCTTCTTTCTTTCCTTTCCTTTTAAAGAAATTTTTATCCCTCTCCATGAGCAGGATCCAGCTTCTTTTAGCACCATACTACCTCCTCCCCAGAGCTCCTCCTCAGTTCCGTTTCTGCTGGGCTCCACTGCCAGGAGCCCAGGGAGAGGCCAGACTTTACACCAGTCCCTGGGGCTTCCCTTGAGCCCCCAGGCCAGCATCTTGCCTGCCTGGTCCTGTAGTGGTGGTGGCTCTGGGGCCTGGCTTTGCCAGGATCTGGCAAGAAGGAGATGGTAACTTGCTGGTCCAACCCCTGCCGCTTATGCCCAGCATCCCTGAGGAGACACAGAGGGAAGGCGCAGAAGGTGGTTTGTTTCCACTTTGAGTGTGGGTGGCCTTGCAGCTCCTTTGACTCCCATGCATGCTCAGTAGGGGAGGGATAACACTGGTGGTCACAGGGCCCCTGCCAGGTGCCATTGGCTTTACACACAGCCTGTCTAATCCTCACTGCAGTTGCCAGCAGTGATTATTTCCATTTTAAAGGTGAGGAGACTGAGGCTCAGAGGACTGAAGCAGCTTGCTCAGTGCCTCCCAGTGGTGCATGGCCAGCAGGGGTTTGAGGCCATGTCTGTGAAACTGCAGATCCCATGCCCTTTCCACCGTGCCATGTGTGTGGCGTTTTCTTTTCATGAAGCACTTCCCTGGTCTTGCTGATCTTCTTCTTTTTTTTTTTCTTGCTGATCTTCTTAACCCCTTGTGGAGTGACCAGACTCAGGGAATTTGATGGCACTTGATGATGGTGATGACTGGGCTGATGGTGGAGCACTTACTACTGAGCACCCACTGTGTGCAGGGCATTCTTCCTCAGCCTCTGTACAGCATCTCATTTAGGCCGCACTCACCCTTTGAGACAGGCACCATCAGAACCAGCTGTACACACACTGGCCAGGGGCACAAACCGGCAAGTGGCAGAGCCAGCATGCACAGTCTGCCAGTCCCCAAGCCTGCTGCCTGACTGTTACATTCCGTTGTCTATGTGAACCATAAGATATGCTTGGTATAAGGGAGACAGAGCTGAACAAGACCCAGTGCCTACCCTGGAGAAGCTTATGTCTGCTGGAGAAGACAGAAATGCAGAGACAATCCCAAATTGCAGTGATGGAGCAAGACAGGAATTCGAAGAACATCTAGCTTGGAAAATCAAAGACTTCCTGGAGGAAGTGAAACCAAGCTGAGCTGTGAATTAGGTGGCCACAGAATTAGGATGGAGGTGTGGTTGATGAGGAGGAAAATAGGTTCTTGCAGATGGAACAAGGACAGAGTCGTCACAGGAACAGGATTCTATGTCGTATGCATGGAAACCAAAGCAGGGTGTAATATGGGGCGCAGGGAGCTGGGGAAGTGAGTCTGAGGAGTGCAGGAGGTGAACCCCCAGCCTGTGGATCACATGAGCACATGAGAAGTGTCCAAATGAAAGCACTGCTCACAGAGCAGAAACTGAGCTCACTCACACCGTCGGGTTACTCAAATCAAGTTCATTTGATGGCATCGATGGGTTCATAGTGGCCTTAGTCATTATTCTCTCAATCAAAGATGTGAAACAAATGCATGCAGCTGTGTGGGTGGGTGGGAGTGGGTGTGTCTTGATGGGGGGTTCTGAAAGTTTTAGACATTCAAAGAGGGTCCTCCTGCTTAATGAGTTGGGGACCGCCATAGCAGGTGGCAACTCGAGGCCTTTGCTGAGTTTGGTGCAGGCAAGAATCGTCCATGCTTTGGGTAGGCCTCCCTGGTAGCTCCCGCTGCGCCTGTGTTGGAGAGTTGGGGGAGCGGGAGGTAGAATGCCTTGCCTGCCAGTTGGTGATAGGACTGCATTTGGAGAACAGCTTGTCTGGCCCCAAGGCCCAACATGCCCATATAGCTATGGTGTGTTGGGTGGGTAAAGAAAAGCATGGCGCTGCCCCCAGGGCATTACCTTCCAATGGGGGAGGTGATTGAGGACTCCTTCACTCCATTCCTCTGCTAGGAATGGTGCTCACCACTGGGTTCATCTGCTGAAGGCCCAGTTTCATTTACTCTGCAGTTACTTACTGTGCACCCACTGCGTGTAGGACTTGGTGCTAAGGCCACAGTGGAGAGTGTGGTCGGCTCTTGGGACAGAATGATTGAGGGGTTTGGACCTCACCCTTAGGGAAGCTCTCCACACTCAGATAGGGCCTGTCCTGCTCTCCTTGGCTAGCCTGGGAGCTCCATGAGGATGGGTGACCTGTCCTGGTGGTCTTTGTGTCTCCATTCTCTGGCCAGGGCTGGCATGGAGCAGCTGCCCAGTGCCTGTTTGGGTGGGATGAGCTGAGCTGGTCCTTGCCAGGTCCTCCTGCCTAGGTGGTGGAGCCCATCAGGGGCTGCCAGGGCTGGTGGGGGGCTTCCACTTCCCTCTCCCCCCTGTCTCCTGCCTCATCTCTGCACACTCCACCCCTAGCCCAGGTTTTGGCGGGTGCTCTCTTTAGCCATTGGGCTGGGCTCATGCAGCCCCTGTGGCTTTTGTCCTGCTTTGACTTAACTTGTCCTTACTCTTTGCTGAGTCTGATCTCCCTTTTTACTGGATCTGCCTTTTTCCGCCCTTGGTGATTTGGCTTTTTCATTTCAATCTAATTAGAGCTCCCTGCCAGGAGAAGGCAGTGCAGGGCGTTCTCACCGCAGCGCTTTGGGAATTAGTCACTTGGTACCCATTGTCGTTAATGGGAATTTGGCGCCAAGGCCATTTATCCTGGTGTCCTCAATCAATACAGTTAAAAATCTGTGGATTCTAAAATGTCAATATCTGGCCTGAAATATGGAAGGCCAGCAACATTTTATCTCGTTAATTTATAGTTCTGACAGGCTGTTGGCTTATAGAATAACCATGAATCAACACTTAAATAAAACCTGCTCACAGATTAATTATTTTTGGTGCTCCTGTTTCAGTCTGTAATCTTCCTAACAAAACGTCTCTGGCATGTTAGGCTGAGGTGGCCTCAGGAAACACTGGCCGACTCCACCAAGGCCCTGAGTGTAGCCTGTCTTATGATTCAGCTGTCCCACACACCGGCTCTGTCGGTCTCCTCAAAATCCCCTGGAGAGCTCACTCAGTTCTAAGCGATCTTGTGATTCTTGCAGACTCCAGGCCCTGAGGCAGGTGTCCTAGCCTGACCCTGGAGCTGCAGCTGTAGAGGCGTGCAGGGCTTCTGTCCTTTCCCTTTGTTGGCTGCAAAGGAGATTCCTCTCCCTGGAGCCCTGGGGCCCTGGCTGAGCAGGGAACCCTGTCCTCCTTGCTGGCATGGGCCAGCCCTCTTGGTGTGTGGCGGCTCATCTGAGCCATCTGTGCCATGCCACCTGGGCCTACCTCCCAGATCCTGGAGACAGAATGTGCGAGAGGGCACATGGACAGGGTGCACATGTTGGCTCTTCTGCTCCCTGAGCCAGGCCTCTTCATCTGTTTCTACCACACTGCCTGGTGCTGGGGCTGTGGAAGGGAGGGGTTGTGATCACGCAGCTAGGGTGCTTTGCAGGGTGCCTGGCGCGTAGTAGGCCCTCAGCAAAGACCTCCTCTTCTCCTCTTCTGCCCCGGCCGTGAGGCCCTTGTTTCTGCTGAGTTGTCCAGATGGCCCTTGTTGCCGGGCCATTTCCCCACTTGGGGCCACTTTTTGATCATCATCCAGAAGCCCCTGCTGGTCCCCTCACTGGGCTTAAAGATGTGCTCCTGGTCCCGTGTGTGGGTCTTGAGGGCAGACTGGAAGGAGCCTTGGGCCATCATGGGTTCTCCCAGTGTCTCCTCCACATTTCCCTTCCTCTTGGTGATGGGACAACACCTAGTAGCCTTTATTATGGCTCTCAAGTGGGTGTGGAGACCCCCAGCCTGCCTGGCGTGACCCTCTCCAGAGACCCAGGCACTCATGGCTGTGGGAGGCCTATGGCCCTCTTCCTTCAGATGCCCACTGCCTGCAGCTCTGTTTCCCCAGCCCCTGGCTGGCTCCTCCTGCCCTGGGTGTCCCAGTGTCTTCTGGCGGGAGTCACGGCGTGTGGAAGTAAGCAGCCCTCTGCGACTGGGCTCATAAGTGACCATTTCTCCTTGCTTTCCAAGAGGTGTCTTCTGGTCCCTCCCTTGTTTTCATACTATGGCTGGGC